CTGAATCTGAAACAGAAACAGAAACAGTACAGAAATGGAAACAACAACAACACAGAAAAACCAACCAAAGCTCAGCTAGCTAATACTGCAACTGAAACAATGGATAGACTATCAGTAGTAGTTCTCCCTCAGTTCCATGAAACCATGGTTGAGGACAACTGAAGTAGCTCTCCAGATTGAAGATGAAGCAAGCCAGAAGAAGAAAATTCAGGATTTGGAGCAACAATATAAGACCATGAATTGGGTCACAGAAGGCCTGGCCAATGAGGTCCAGTCTCTCTTCCCTACTACCAGTAGTGACATTGATCCACAAAACAAGAAAGAGACTTGTCAAAGTTCAAGGAGGCCAGCATGGGCGGAGAAAATCTGCATCCTACAGCAGTAGATGTTTGCTTCCACATACCAATTCCATCAAGTCATGAAAATAATATGTTCCAAGTGGTCTGTGAAGGTTGTACTATGCACTAACAACTCAATCCAGTGCCATCGCAAACCAGTCAGAAAGAGACGGTCACATGTGAATCCATYGTAGTGCCAAAAATCAAGGCAAACCCCAGTTTATAACTGCCCAATTGCAATGAAATATTCTATCCCTGGCATCAAAGATAAAAGGAAACCAAGGATTCTTCTGCCAGTTAGAATGATCACTTATGTGAATCTGCATCACACATGTCCACTCAACACCCCCATTTGTTACAGGTTTACTGTGTGCAGATCAGGATCATGAGCTGTCAACTTGGACTTAATGCAGGATATTCTGTCTCTAATTCAAGTCAACCCAGCCATGTCTCTAATAGACCTCTATCCATTCCTTGCTAGGCATCTGCCTCCACATGCAGCACCACTAACAGCAGAGTATCTTGTGAATTTCAGTATATGGCAATAAAGAGGTTATAGAGCAAGAGGAAGCACAGCTCCTAGGTACTAATGGAAATACTGAAGAATCAATTGGAATAGATGCATCAATCAAGAGGAAAGAAATTGAGAAACTGTTCTCTAATCTTAGATGGCAATAAAAAACTGCAACTCTCCTGCATCTCAGGTTTGGAACAATTCATGGAGAGGGCTCAACAGAAACACAGCATTGAGATTTAGTCAATGGTAGGAGATCATCTGTCAGCCCAAGGAGTACTTGGAGCTCAACAAACTGAGGGAATAGATCAGAGACTAGCAGCAGCACTTCCTGTTGGAGGTATTATGAATGTTGCACCACCATCTGATAGGTCCATGGGTAGATATAAGAGCTCAAGAAGAGAGAAGAGGAAGAGGTCAGCACCACCACCCATGACAGGCACAACTAATAAAACAAAGGCTTGTAGTTTTTGCAGTGGGGCTGGCCACAATATTGGATTCTGTTGCCCCCAAATCAATGCATGGGGTTGATAAATGCTGACTAGGAACAAGGAGGAATTWCATCAGAGGCTAGACTTTGTGAAGCAGTTGTGTAGCATGTCATCTGCATATCATGCTGTTCTGCCTTTCCCTATTGACAAAAATTCTTCAGATGTCATCCATGATATTGGAAATGGTACCAGAGGGATTGTAATACACAAATTTTTGTCTCTACTGACAATCTCCATGTACTAGGTGAATGCACATTGCTCAAGGCAGAGGGGAAGCCATGTGATGCCAACAAGAATGTAGTGTTTGAGATGGAAGTAGTGGAACAATTCATCTTGCACTCCAAGGGTAATGTCATTATCACACAATTGGTGAGGGTTGATGGAAATGAACTCATTCAAAATCCTACTTGTGCYAATATGTCCCAAATGTCACAGTTTTCACAAACTTTTGGTTGTATGCCTACTGCTGGTGGTTATGGTGCAATGATGGACTTCTCTAATGGCATTATGCAGATAGTAGTAGTTGTAATATTACTATTAAAACTCATTCTTTTGACTGTACCATAGGTTTGCCAGTATGGAACCTAAATTTAGAATTTTCTGTACCTAGTATGTAATATTGCTACGGAACCAAAACTTAGAATTTTTTGTAGTACCCACTAGTATTACTACTGATTATAGCACGACATAACACTAACATGTAAGTTAATATTACTACTGTTACTAGTACTCTAAAACACCAGTAGTAGTAGTAGTAGTGCTGGGACTTGAACCATTGTTGTTACCACTTCTATTATTATGTAAACTATTGCTAATGTTGTTATTTTTTGGGCCTCTTCCTCCTTGAATGATGAGATTTGGACTTCTGTTGTTTGGTTCTCTTTGCAATCCATTTGTTTTCCAGGACAGTGGGATTAAGGAACTCTAAATGATGTACATGGAACATAGACACCTTATGCTCCTCTAGAGCTTTGAGCTTCCTGTCATACAACACCTCCACTTGCCTATTTTCCATATCAATTGCCTTCATGCTGGTGGTTGCCTGCTGACAAGATTCTTCTTCCATTTGGCTTCAATGGAGCAATCTTCACTTGCATTTCAGGTCACCCCAAGCTGTTCAAGTTCTCCTGACAAGAACCTTTTGCCCAATTCAGATGTCTTTGCCTTGTCTAACAGTAGAGAAGGCCAGTTCCATAATCAACTTCTTGTTTATTTGTTGGTTGGATCTAGGAGCAGCAGAGCCAAGTGAAACTGCAATGAGGCAATGATATACTAGATTCCCAAGACAGAACAGTCCCTCCTTTCAGTTGTAATATTGCTAGCCCTTGCTCTGGCAACAAAAACCAGGTCRGACCAGRTTTTTCTGGATCCTTGGAGATGTAAACAGAAAATCAGCTTGTGTCATCTTGCACATCAACAACATGTATGTTGTTGGTTAGATCCTCTGCAATAGCCAGTGTTGGCATTACTGTCTTCAATTCTCTTGACGGTGCCTCAATATTAACACCTGCACTATGGAACTTCTGATGCCTCCTCAACTCATGGAGCAGCGGCTTCTTACAAATGATGTCCATCATACTTCATTGAGCTTCATGGAATTATGCTTCATCAAACAATCAGCAAAGGTTTTAGTCGCATGAATGCTTTGGTATGTTGTTGGACTGGAAGACACATAGTAGTCAAATGTATGCCCTGTAGAAACCATTTGACCTGCTTCATAGTATGGAGATACTCCCATCTAGCTCTGGGTCTGAAGAAATCTCTCAAAGTCATTGCAGTCTTGATCCTCAACAATATAGCCAGTTTCATCTTAGTAGTGGACTAGGATCTGACCTCCATTGGTGTTGATCACGAATAAGTCCTTAGCAGGGGGGTTGTCACTACACGGCCTTCTGATAACAGCCAACCAACCCTTGTTGTCAACAAGTTCAATTTCATGACTCCTACCACTAGCAAATTCATTAGAAATTTGGTTACAGTGATAAACAAGCCATTGCATTGCTGTTGTTTCCCTTTCTTCTTTGTACACAAGTATTCCAATGATTTCYGTCTTGTGATTGTATCTCCATGGTAGAGTTGTGGAAGAATTCTCTGATCAGTTGGGATAGTGCCTAAAATTGTCTTCATGCAATGTTTCCCACATAAAGCAACCTCTTGAACATAATGATCATCATCAATCTCCTCATATTTAATGAAGTCATCCWGCGGATCAAGCACCTCCTCATGAGGCAGTTTTTCACTTCTGTTGCTGCCCTTATGGTGACATATCCCTCTTCTGTGATGAAGATCATCACATCCATGATGAAGATACTCTCCTCCTGCCATCCCTGCTGGCTGGTCAGTAGACATATTGGCTTGGCACTACACCACCCTTCAGACAGATTGGTTTGTAATGACTTGATATGGATTGACTTCAAGTATATATGGTTGGTTGTTGAGTATCATTTGCAATAGCAGCAGCAATAATCATGACTCTGAAAGGCAAAGGCAATAACTGTTCACACTAGTCAATCGCCGTTTCCCTTGAGTATTGGAAGATCTGCACTTGAATATTGTATCTGCAAACGCAAATCATCATTGGGCTGCTTGACTAGAGGGGGCATCTGTATCAGTATCCGCAAAGTCAAATCACTTGAGTATCCGCATCAAACGCAAATACAAATTGCTTGAGTTTCTGCAGCAAACACAAAGGCAAATCACTTGAAGAATAGGGAGATCTGCAAATGCAAATAACTTGCCCACGCCGGTCTCTGTTTTTGCAAATGAAAATATTTCTTGGGTATTGTATTGCCGGTCCCTGCTTGAGTATTGTATCCGCAAGAAATGCAAATCACCAATTGAGTGTTTGGAAGATCTGCACTTCAGTATTGTATCCGCAAACTCAAATAATTTGATTAGTAGGAAGATCTGCACTTGAGCATCATATCCTTAAACGCAAATAACTTCTTGAATACAAACATCCCCTTGAGTGTTGAATGGTCCACACACCGGTCCCCTTGAGTATGGATGGTCTGCACACAGGTCCCTTGAGTATCCACAAATACAAAGCGCCTGCACACTGGTTCCCTTCAGTATCTGCAAACGCAAATTGGTTGAGCATGAGCAAACGCAACAACCATTTGATTGAGTATCARMTTCTCTGCACACTGTTCCCTTGATTATCAGAAAACGTGTCTGAAGGCCGGTCCCTTGAGTATCCACAAATGCAAATTGCTTGAGTACTATGGATGTTCCACATGGCAGTCCCTTGAGTATGATATAGTTAACAGGCGTTTTGCTTGAGTATCTGCAAACACAAAGCATCTGCACACAGTCGAGCAACCACAACAACAAGTCAATTAAGGCAAGTAAGTTCTCCCATAGTGTACAAAGGCACAGAACATTGGGCTGTCATTTGAAATAAAAATTATTAAAAGTACAATATTAAAAAATATACGACCACTTTGAGCGGTTTGGGTTACTTTTGCATCGTGCTGTGCTGGTTTTCTTGCGATGAATGCACATACCTCCGAGTGATGAAAGAGTGCCGTGTTAGGAACAGGTAAGTAACCAATATATGCACAGAGGCTTTTCCGATTGCACTTCTACTACTAGGTGATTAATGCCGTGTTTCTTCATCCTGCCCCATGTAGACCCAGCCTACTGTGTGTTTTGTCACCGCACGTGGCAATAACGATTTCTTTCTTGTTTACTGCAGACTAGTCACTAAGTCCACAACTGCTATCGCCATCGCTGATACGAACACTGTTGTTGGTCCCGTCGGCCTCGACATTGTTGTTGTTGTCATCACTACCGCCACCGTTGTCACCCTCATCGTTGGCTCTCGCCATCACTCTTCGAAACATCTTGTTTCGCTTCTTGGCATCCGATGCTACCTCGTCTTGCGCCGCAGAGGACATAGAACGTCCATGCCCGTGTGCGTGTGCGTGTGCGTGCGCGTGGCGGCCGTTGAGTACACTCTGTTGGGTACCATTACTGCCATCGGACGACCGAGATGCATCGCCATCGCTGCAGGATACCGCGCGATTCATAGACTTCTTGTTTTCTGAAGTGCCACCATCGGCCTTGTCTTTGTCATCGCTTCCGATGGATTTCGGTTGCTGTTTCGACGACGCCGAGTGCTCCTGTTCGTCTTGCTGCTGGTCGTATTCACCCAGAGGACGAATACTGCATACACATTCTGGAGCATCCCCCTTAAAATGAACCACGCCGTTGAGTGTAACGAGCATATACTGCTCGTCTTTGTTCTTGAGTCGAAGCTCCCACACACCAGATCCCAGTACCGCCATGTCGGAATCAGCTTCGCGCGCGGCCAACGAGTCCATGAATGCTGCCTTCAGCAAGCGGACCGAATCCTGACAAATKAGATCCCAAAAGGAGGTACCCTCCAGCTTTTCGGGAGACATATCAAGGAAGCGCCCAACGCTTTCGCTGACAAACCCAAGTTTCCCAGAAGAATCAAAGACGACGATCAGGTCCGGAATAGTTCGTAATATCTGTTCCTTGCGTCGGAGTTCGTCGTTTTCTTCCTTCAATTCTTCGATGAACTGTTTCTTGCGCTTGCGACTTAATTGCGCCGATCTTCTGTTGGCAGCCCGTTTTTGCTGTTTCTTGCTTCCTATTCCCGTGTCGACATCCATCGCATTATTTCCTCGATCAACAATCCCAGCCTTCTCACTGCTTGTACTCAGTTGACCCGCGGCTGGCAAAATGCGTCCTCCAGAAGCAGTTGCTGCTTGGAGTATAGAAGGGATGGTGTTCGCGCCTGCAGCTGCATATTGGTATTGTTGCTGGTGAATCTTCTGAGGATGTTGGRTTTGATTCACTTGCTGTTGTGCTTGTTGAAGAAGTGCTTGTGCCTGCTGTTGTAAGCTAGTAGTAGCGATGGCGTGACCAGTACCAAGGTGAGAAGAATCCGCAGAGCCTTTTTGGAAAAAAGATTTTCAAACGTGCATAAAAATATAAGTAAAGGAATAAGTAACAGAGAAGAACGTAGAAAATTGATGAGTCAGACGGGATTGGCCAATCAGAATTCTCAAAATACTTGCGTCATCACTGTCAGCAGATGCAGCTTCTCATCTGCTCATTTTTAATCCCTCTAGGGTACATAATTGAGATCGAATCCACCAGAGTTACAATCTGCTCAACCACGTGCCTTGTGCCAGTACGAGTATTTCACAAATTCATACGGTGCACTCTTCTACCATGGAAACAACCATGTTAACTTCTTGTACCATGCTTCGTAGTAATTAAACAAGTAATGTTCTTGCCTTCCTTCTTTGTAGTTACKTACCAGTAGCTTTAGCGTTTAGTGTAGACGTATCAGCCGAGGCGCCGGGAAGCAGGTGAGGATTCTGTACCGTTTTACCAGCTGCCAGGTTCATGGCGATCAAGGCAGCGTGCGATTGAGCACCATTCGCGGCGGCAGCGGCCACAGCCTGCGCTTGTGCCCGCTGCTGGGCTTGTTGTTGCTGAGCGTTTGCTTGCGCTACATACTGTTGTAGGATCAGCTGCTGCATCGTGTTTGCAAAGACACTGCCGGTGTTCGCCGGTGCCGTGGGAGCCGGGGATACGGGAGCGGGCGGGGCTGGATCGGCATTGCCTGCCGGACCTCGCAACCCCGAAGGATATAGGATGGATTGTGTGAGCACTGGATCTAGCCTTCCGCTCTGAGAAGTAGCCGCCGCAAGGATTGCTTGCGATATTTGTTGGGGTGTAAAGTTGCTCCCGGTAGCAACAGCCCCCGGAATAGAGGCAACCAGTTGTGAAGTAGCAGTCGGATGCCGCTGCTGTTGCGTGCCCATGGAAACTATGCCGTTGTTCTCACTGGCGCTGCTTGTAGAGTCAACGTTGCGTTCGGAGGTTTGTCGTGTCAGCAAATGCGTCGAGCTTCCAGCAGTCGCGGCGGAGTCCGACGAGGGTTCATTTGCAGCAGCAGCCGTACTATGAACCGCAGATGGAGTTKCTGTGTGTGTCGCCGGGTTGGCATTCGTTGTCGCCGTGGTAGGTTGTCGTCCACCGCAAAGTGCGGCCAACGCCTCGAGCCCTTGGTTGCCCTTCATTCTTGCTATTCCTGTGCTGTAGTACCGATATGTGTCTTTTGCCTTTTGTGTTTCGTCTTTCTCTTTTTACTTCTCGATACAGTATCGCTTCGGAGCCGTCCGTTTGTCTTGCAATGAGGGGAGTGGTAGAGGTTTAAGGTCGTTCTCTTAAACATTGACAGAAACTCGGTTTTCATAAGCGCTGCAGTGATCGTAACGATGATGCAGATGATGCAAGGGGTCGTTTGCTGCGTTTAATTGTGTCACGCGTGTGTTCAACTTGTCATCGGCTATTCGAAGCAGATGTTAGTATGTCATTTAATACGCTTAAGGGCATCTGTTGCTTGAAACCTGTTTCACGAGCCAGTTCGGGGAAGCGGTGACACATCATTGGAAAACAATTCAAATGTCACGGGAAATTAATAATTTAAAAAAATTACAAGGAGAAAGCTATTGTATAGATTCCGAAATTAGGTTGAAACGAAAAGATTCCCAATTGCCGAAAACTTTTTAATTATAGTTCATTAAATTCATCAGGTAGTGTTCTTCATTTTTTCTGCCATCTGTTCTACTTCCTCGTTTTTGTTATCATGACAACTGTAAAAATCTTCCCCGTCTACAACGTCATCGACTTCTTTTTTGATACAATGATGGATCGCACAGAAAAGGAAAAAAAGCAGATGTTTTGCTTGGCTGCTGCAGAAAGTTCGTACCCCTCCTCGWACGTACGTACAGTTTTCACTTTTCCTATCACTGAGTTCTGTTCCTTGGCGCTCAACTTTTTCGGCGCATCTGTTTTCAGTTTTCAAAATGATGACTCGAACCTTGGAATAGTTGAAGTACTCGTACGTACCGTACGGCAACGTACAGCAAACAGCAATAAAAAGAATGTCAATTATTGGGTAAGAAGGCACGGTTGGAGTGTACAAACAGATATCGAAAACATATGAATCGAAGTTGTCGTGTCTCAACATACATACCGGTACCGTAGTATGATACCATACAGCTCTAATTTGATACAGTAGAAGCAATCTACGTACCGTACGGTACTCCCTATCAGTACTAAGGATAGCTTCGAATCCATTCAATTTTGCTTTGCGCCTCTAACTGGTGGATCCTACCGTATGCTTATTATCGCCGCTAAGAGTATCATCCTGCCATGAGATATTTTCTGTATCATCGACCGGAATACCATCATTCTTTGTCTTGGTTCTAAATGGCACAGAAATTGGGCTTTATGTAGTGGCGAYTTTTTGACATCCTGCCAGTTTTAGCCTGACAGAGAGAAATCTGAAAGGTTTTCATGGGAAATTCGAGTAGCTAGTTGCTATCATATTCTTCTATCCATTGTTCTAATAAATGCAGTATTGATGTGTACTGTGTCTTTGTTGGTACAGCTTTGTTCATCACGAGTATAGGATTTAGTATGATCGTCTAGAGAAGTAGTGAAATATCTTACAATTCTTCATCCACAATAATATCAAATATACCCGGGTGGTGCGGTTGTCCAGATTCTTCCATTTCGTCGTGCAAAAGCCGGTACTCCTCATCGAATTCGGATGGGGCAATATTGAGTTTGAGAACATCTCCAACGTCAATATCCCTAGTTGCGATGAGTTCCAATGTAACACCAACATTCGACTGGTGATCCTTATTAGAACGAACGATGAGCTTGCAATTATATTGATCTCCAGTGCCTCCGACACGCCGCACAAGGCCAATATTTCCCGAAACTGGTAGAATTGTTATTTCTGAATACCCCACAAAACGATCAACCGACTCCCAATTCGTATCGTGCCCTTGGTATTGTAACACAAGCTTGTTATCGTCACGCAAGTCGATGAGATGTTGGTGATGATCGATCTTGAGATTTTCCCAATAGAATGCGATCGGACCCATAGGTGTGCCCCGCACGTAATTGCGACTTATGACCAAGCCCAGGCTCTTTTCGATTTGGGCGCCCTTCCTTATGGCAACCTTGGCTCGAGCATCACTCAGTCCGGCATCGAAGGGTGCTAATCTTGTCAAGTCCATCCACGACGAGGGTTCAAGGATGGTTCCCGCGCCACCACTATTGTAGTGCATACTCGTCAAGATCGGCAAGATATTGTCCCTCCAGGTTGGTTGACCGATTCCTGCGTAGATCTTTGAACAATACGACGACACGAAAAAAGGCAACATGTTCGGTTCGATAGCCTCTGMCGTCATTGATTGCGAATTCAATCCTCGGTTTTCGAACCACGCTTCTGATAAATCGTCTCCGTACGATACATATAATTGTTCCCCGGCGGCTATGTCCCTTGTGGCACGAAATCCGACTAAATGAGGCACATCATCTCCTTGTTTTTCGGACACTTGTACGTATTTTAGGTTTGGATTAGCATGGTGGTTGTAGAACGCACCATTTCCTAGCAGAACAACGTTGTAAACTACGTCACTCATATTGGTGTCCTCGCCTTCATGTTTGTTCCGCTGGAACCCAAAGACGAAATTGTCCAAGACAGAGTGTCGAGTATAAGGGCTCTCGAGTGGGATAAAAAACGGTGTTAACTCCACTAACTCGTCTGCCCTGAATGGCTGAGCGGCGTACACCGCCCACCCATCCATGTTTGGTGTCAAAAAGGTGCTGCATCCCTGCCACGAGTGYGATGTTGATTGGTATTGTTGTGCACCAACGAAGACTGATGACGACGTTGAGGAAGGTAACGAAGACACAGGTTCCGTCTTTATCCTTGCTGATCCTATGGTAAAAACCAGTGTGATTGCCACAAATAGAAGCCTTCTTAACACTGACCGATGGTGTTCCATTCTATTTTGTATCATCCTTTCTGTCTGCGTAGTACCTATCTTGCTTTTCCTTTTCTCTTGGCAATAATTTGTTGAGTTCGCCAGCGCTTAGATTCGAGTTGCAGTGGAGTCTATGATTGTATCATCTAAGGCATGTCGAAGTAGAACCATTTTTTAAGTGGTGACCGTTAGCTCGTTTGAGATATGAAAGTAGTCGCGTTATTTATGCTTTATCGTCGAGAAACTTACTCCGAAGCTGAGGGAGTCAAGATCAAGATGATGACACCGCGGGATGGTTTGCGGTCATCGTCGCGCACAAGAGTCATTCGAAAGGTCGTCAACACCGGACTCAGACTAGATTTACATAACGGGCCCCATAATGAGTCATTCCCGGTAATAGACAAAATTTTGATAGACTGACAGACCGGAAATTTATTAGAAGTACATCTGTAACAATTTTTATTTCATTTGATTGAGGCCAAACTGACCACATCAAACCTAATAAATTTTATGTTGGAACTCACGATTCAAAATTTGAAAGATTCAACAGAAAGGCCTGCCAAAAATTAAGACAGAATCAACGAAGAACTTACTAAGACTCATCTACTAGTAATAAGGCGCCTCTAACAAGGCGCCTTCAACAAGACATAAACTATGTCCTGATYGGTGCTCTTAGTCAGTTCTTTCTATTTCATTTCTCTGTTGCAGCAAGAGAGCAACAGTATGAGGAGACCCGCAACCTCAACAAAGAGGAGGGAGCTCATTCTTGTCGCCRAACCGGCCTCAACAAAGAGGGAACTCATTCTTGTAGTCCTATCCCCTGCACTATTTTTGTAGTAAGAAAGATGCCAAAAGCTGGCAATACAGGCCAGAAGGCTGGTGTAGCAAACTCCTCTTGCAATGAGCTACACAGTCTCATGGGCATGATACTTGACAGTCTTCCAATTAGTGGAGACGACTGGGATCTCATAGTGAATGATCATGAAAAATTGTGGCCCTTCTTTAGAAGCCAGACATCCATCAAGACTAAGTATGCAGCTGTTAAGAGGATCAAGAGCTCAACGAGGAATCCAAATATGCCAGAGTACATGAAGATGGGACGCTGGGCCCACATCCTCATAGGTCAGAAGGCAAATCTTGGTACTGGGGAGGAGGACTTTGATCTGAAGCAAGGCTACATTAAAAGTGAGGCTGTGGAGGGCTTCTGACTGGTGTCCTGGCTGGTATTCTTGCTGAAGTATCTGAAGAGCCAGAGGTTCTTCTTGTTGGGGAAGCATCATCTGCTGAAGCCTTGCCTGTTGGTGGACCAAACATGCCAGGGGCATCATCTTCAGCCTTGACACCTTCACTCGTGTTACAATCCACTCCTATCCCCAGGAAAAGGGCCTACAAGCAGAAGAAATCAAATGTTCCGGATGCTGCTGCATTCAACCAGTATATTAAGAGCCAGCAAGAAAGAGACAAGGAGAGTTGCAAGATGTGGAAGGAARCCATTGGGGCTGCAAAGGAAGTTGTAAGGGATTTTCTAGGAGGAGCTGCTGTTACCATGTTCAATCAGTGGCAACAACACAACAATGCATACCATCATCCTTCACACCATGGTCCTCCTCCACATGGTCCTCCTCCTCATGGTCCTCTGCAACATTCATACACCTCCATACCTCAGCCTCCTTACAATGCTTCCACGTCACAGCCTCATCTGCGMAAAYGGAAGTGCCAGGAACAGGAATCAGAATCCCATGGTGAGGAGAAGGAATTGTCATGGTAAATATTGATTGCAATTCTGATTGCTATGCTGCTGATATCTATCCATTATGTACATCAATTGCTGACTGTCTCATTGTCTACTACTAAACTTGCCTCTTTTTAAGCCAACCACAGCATTGACAGCACCCAATCGACTATGGGATTCACCTGGCAAACACCCCATTGCCATCAGAGGATATCATTTGGCCAAAAACTAAGTTATTGCCAGTAAGGTTGAAGTTATGGTCTGAAAAGAATGTAGTAGAAGCTATTCAATGAAAGCACTCTGGCTGTTTGTTGTTTCTGAAATAGGAATGGAAATCATTGATTTGTTGTGTATGCTGGGTATTGTTTTTGTTGGTGTTATTTTTTGTAAGCAGAAGAGGTGTTCTTACAAAAAACACATTCTAAAGATCTTCCCTGCAATTTGTGAACAGTTCTTCTTAGTAGTGCTAGTACATTGGCAATATTAATTGGGAATTGAGATAATTGTTTCCCCTTGTCACCTGTTGAGTTTGATTGGTACTCATTCTTGACTCATATTCTTTCAGACATCAAAATTTTGCTGTTGCTGCCATGTTTTGAGAAGATGAAGTGATCCCTTTTTTTAGTCTTCTTCTTTAGCAAGGACTATCTCTGTCCATTCAACTTTCTCAGCATCTACACATTGAACATAAAATCCATCAATGTTGATAATTTCAAAATCTTGGTACCCATTTTTCAGTTTGACAGACTTGAATGTACATATGGCTCCATTTTCTTTTGACTTTTTAACATCTATGTTGTCATTGAACATCATGAAAGCAGGTCTGTCAACATACAATTTAAGCATTGCTGGATCTTTCCTTTTGGAGCATTTGTTTGTACCTGCAACAATGTTAGCATCAGATGTGGTAGTTAGCACCCAGTATTTCTGAATTCTGGAATGTCTCTGTATTTTCCTTTAGTCTATCTGCAGTTTGATTACAATGGTGTGATCTGGCAATCTCTTGTTTATGTTTTTGAATGTGTTGTTTTGAGAAACTCAGAAAATATGCCATCATTTATTGCACATTTGTCTGCATTGCTGTATGCTGCATAAGCAATATCTTCTGAGAGTTTGTCCCAAGGTTTTACAATTCTAGAATTGATTTGAACATGCTCTTCTTTCAAGCCATTTATTCTTAAATCATCAAAAAGCTCTCTCCGGATTGGATCATAAGAGTCATGGTTGGTTTAACCGAACTATCAAGAAAGTGAAGTTAAGATGTKGATATTTTTTGGGACCAGCAGTCCCATTACAAGTGGCGTGAATTTGCTGACGATGAACAACATTTCAAACCCACCACCTGCTTCATCAGGATATTAAACAGTATTGTATTTTAGATACAGCAGGAACCAGTGTTCGTCATTCAAGCTTGTTATTACATTGTTATATTGTAAAATGTCGATGTGTCGTACACACTTTTGTTTCGCTCTTTCAAGTCAGATAAGTCATTATTGGGAGGTTATCATGCATAGATTGCTTCTGAGTTTTTTATCATGTAAAATCTGAAGAACTGATTACAGGCAATTCCATGTAGGTACTAGAGAATTGTTGTCGTTTCTGTAAGTTGGTGTCGCTGCCGAATGTCGACTGATGAAAAAGATGTGACACTGATGAGGGACGTTTCCTATAAAATATGTAGAACACAATACCAACCATGAAAAAAAACACAGTCGCAATGCCAAAATCTCGTGGCGAAATCGCCAATCGATTCATTGACAGCGAGGTCACTTCACAGCAACCATCTACTTGTCTCGTTGTGGTTGAATCAAGTTCGCGTGGCCATAGTACAACATCTCCAGAATATGCGCCCTGCATCATCGGGCGAAGGTTCTCTCCATTTCGGTCGACGCTACCAAGCTTTCCAGTAGATTCCTCACCCCTGCATCCGAAAAAAATTCTCTCAGGAGTACCATGATCTTCGTTCCATACAACATCCAACCCTGTGACTACTAGGGACTTCTCCAAAGCCATTGGTTCGTTTAACCAATCTATAGTAACCTCTCCTCCTGGCATGCAAAACTGAGTCACCTGCGCTTCTGTTAAAAAGATTTCTGTATCTCCATTGACGTTGAAATAGACAGAATTTTCGTCCTCTGTCGTCGCAATGGGCATGCATTCAATACCTTTATTAAAAATTGTGTGGCATAGGTGATCAGGGCGACCTGTCTGCTGGTTGTAGTGTAATTTTTGGTTCCCGCCATTCCAGACACCCATTCGCATAAATGCATGATCGACATCGGTACTAGTCACATCCTGGCGCATGTATAAGTTGCGAGTTACATCGCCACCTTCAGGCATGGCATAGATATGGCTTTTGACTACCCCCTTTTCTACATGGAAGATCGTGACAAGGAAGCTCCGGACGGGAGGGTTGCTACTGTCGTTAATCTCTCTATTTGGATATTGGTTCTTATGCTCTTCTTGTGATTCCTGCAACGCAGGTACGACGGTAAATCCTCCATACGGAAGAACGACTTCCCTGGGTCGGGTTCCCTTGAATACTATTGCTACAGGTATCGTGCAACGCGAAAAATTGTTCTCAACGTCGAAATACCCACGGGACTCCCCATCCTCCTTTTTGGCAAAGATGCACGTCGGATCCTCAGCTTGTGTTTTCAATCGGGAAACGCCAATCGTCCACTCGAGCATTTTGGGTGCGGAAAACATGTCAGCGGGATTGCAGTTTTTGTGAAAGCCCTCCCAGACAATGAAAATGTCTCCGGTTTGGTGGTCGACAGCAAAAGCTCTTGGTTGAACTTGTACGTATGCGTTCAAGAAGGCACCATCGTGATAGTCTCGGTCGGCCTTTATTCCATTGGAATCAACGTCGTCGTTGAACGGACAACAATCAAAGTCACAATTGTTCCAATCTGTTGCACTAAGTGTTCGAAAATAAGGCTTGAAATGAAGGGCATCGCTATTGCTGGTGCTTTTATAAGGATCATTCTTCGTACCAGAGGACTTTGGGAGATCCGCTCGCAATATCTCCCAGGTATGCGTAGTACTCTCTGGGTGATCGACCATGGTAGTACCATATAAATAATTCTTGGCATCGTCGAGACCATTCATGCTACTTCCCTTTTCTTCGGTACTTTTCTCTGTTTGCGAAACAAAAAATTGCAGGTTCATCAAGGGCAAATCCAAATCATCGGGAATGTCTGAGTATAGATTGTAAGAATCCGCAACTACTCGGGGATCGATGCAGTATCCCCCATCATCCTCATAGTCGYCATCGTTTGCAATGAACTTGCCCCCGTAGTCTCTGAGCGTGCAACTATAGAGACCAGTCCAGGCTTCAATCGGAGACGCGTTTTCATCAACAAATGGCAGTGCATCCGTTGTAGATGTGGTAAAGAGAAGCCTTTGCTCTCCGTTGTCGCTTTGCATCATCCTTCGCCACACACATACAAGATTTCCTCGCCTTCAACGAGAAATACTGGACCGTACGAATACAATACTTCCTTGTTCGGCTTCAAGTTGACGAATTGGTTGCCTTCGAGAAAGGTTTCACAAAGTTGGCTGCTGGTTTTGCTTGATACCAGAATTCCACGAAGTTTTTGGAAATGTTATTCTACAGCAGTACAGTATTTCCCACCGGTTTTACAATCTTATTATGATTTCCGTTCAAACCATAAGTACTCGAATTTAATGTGCCCCCGATGATAAACTGTAGGGGCCTTCTTTGCTGGTGGTCGTATCGATAAATCGATACTGTAAACAATTTCGTTACTACTAGAAGCACGAAGTGATACAAATATTTTTTTGTCATCATATTCACATGACAACGCGGTGGTCCGTACGCTTACCGTATTAGAGCTACAAAGTACGGRCCCMATAATGGCAAGTTATTTCCCTGGGTGTCAATTTTTTCTCATTTTCCTGTATTTATTTCCCCTCTCCCCCCCTCCACACAAAATGCTGAGCTGCTCATATGCCATTAATAAGGTGCTGATATCATGCTGTATGCTGAGGAGCTTGCTTTGTTCACTGATACAGAGGACCTGATGATACTACGGATATCATAACAAATGATCGCGACACTAAGAAATTGGTTCCCATTGTTATTTTAATGATGCCATCCTTAGCCCAGTAGAACACAGTACAAAATGTACTGAGGTAGTTTGCAACTATTCTGGTGGGGGAGAACCAATCCTCCTTCTTTCTCAGAAGGCAAAACATGGTGAAAATTTCAGGGAGCAACACCACTCAGTAGAGCTCTGTAGAATTTGTACTGAAAAAATTAAGGATGGCATCATTAAAATAACGATGGGAACCAATTTCTTAGTGTCACGATCATTTGTTATGATATCTGTAGTATTAGTAGTACTATTATGTCCACTACACAGCGGCATCTGCTACTAGTATATGGTGTCCTCTATACAGAGGAACCACTAACGGAGGAGCTACTGATATGCCCTTCTTGTTTGCTGCTGATATAGAGGAGCCAGCAACAAGATCTGAGATGCTGACAATATGGAGGGATGCTGAACATGATTGTGGTAGCAGTCTACAATTAAGGTCTATTATTATGGTCTACAATTATGGTCTATGATACTACTAAGGCCAGGAGCATTGGTGTTGATCCATCACAGAGGAGGCTTGCTGATATGGAAGATGAATACAAATGAGGGGGACGGATGCTAGATACAGATGCTGAATACAGACGGTGAATGTGGACACTGARTACTGAACATGGACACTGGATACAGATGCTAGATACAGACACTGCTGAACACTTAATACCAAAGGTGAGCATATGTGGGATAGGGATGCTGATTACTGAATACCAACCCAGGATGCAGACACTGGATATAGAAACTAAAAAACTAAATGCAGATGTTGCTGTGGACRACTGTTGCTGGATGCAGACACTGGATACAGACACTGAATAAGAAGGTTGCTGCAGATGCTGGATATGGACGCAAATACTGAACAATACAGACACTGCTGAGGAATACTGAATACAGACACTGAAAACAGATGCTGGATAACAACACTAAATATGGACACTGGATACAGACATTTGATACAGACACTGGATACAGATGATGTAATCAAAGACTGTAATGATTGTTATCATGGACCACACGCATTGACAACAAGAACAACAATGCTATCACAGACACTATCAGCAATGCTAAGCAACACTAAGCAACACTATCAGCAACACTTTCTGCAACACCACCATTGATGCCACTCAACAACATAACCAACCAATGTTTGTCAAGGACAAGAACAAGGACAATGCGTCAACCAGAAACAACGCCAATGTCAGGGGCCTTTATGGAGTCCCAGTCTGCAGCCTTTGAAGCAGCCTTTGAGTTAGAATCAGATGTTGAAATTTTGTTTGAGTATGATGAAAGCTCAAGTGATGAAGAGGTTGTTGATGATATTGAGCCAAATTATGATTTGGAGCCTTCTGGAATGAGTCACGAGGAGGCAACACAAGCAGAGATCTTCAATGTAATCACTCAGAGCCAAACAGCTTGGAACTGGGACAAATTGATACTGAGTTCTTCTATTGGAAGAATGGAGCCATTGTTAACAGCAGTCTGAACTATCAAAGGGTTCCAGTGGGTTATGAAAGGAAGGATCCAAAGGTCAACAAAGGAGAACCAGAAGACTGGGATGATGTAGACAATCCTGGTAGGTGGCATCCACATTACTACAGACCAAAGTTTGAAGCAGGTATGGGGAAACACAAAGGTCACTTCCTTCCTTCTGAGTGTAAGCTTGTGGAAATTCCTAAAAACTTGACTGGTCTTGGCAAGGAACCTATCAGGGAGCAGGATGGATGGAAGTTTCATTACCTTGGGAGAGATGGTACTGTGGAAGATCCTAACAACCAGTTTGCAAGGAAGTTTGCTACTACTAGAGATAACACGTTTCCGGAGGAGAGGAAGGGGAAGCCCAATATCTTCAAGCTTAAGCGACATGGGCTCACAAAAGATCACATTGAAAATGGAGACACATTCTTTTTCTATCAGTTGCTCCTACCAATTGCTCCTGATTTGCAAGAGTATCAGATTGAACCTGAAAAGAAACAGACTTATTATTGTATAGCATTGGCCAGCTAATGTATGGTCCCACCAGTCTTACATTTTGGGCCCTTGATTTGTGTGTAATGACTACTTTGACTAAAAAAATTATTACAAAATGCACATGCTCAGTACTTTTACCCATACTGGAATTTTTGAATCCCACATTTGTGCAACCAAATAGTTTCACTCACATGCAAAATAGTTTTTTGCTTTCACGTACATGGTGTAGGCCTAGTACAAGTCAAATTTTAATCCCAAGAGTCATTACACGGTAATTAGATGGCCCAAAATTGATGCACAGTACAAAAAACATGTAGGGCATTAAGAGGGGTTCAACTCACTCAAACAGCTATCGTTTTCCCCAACAGACGCTTAACTCCTATGATAAGCACATGGTTAAAAAGAAAATTCAAAGAGCTTTCTAATGCCGTGGGGGAGTAGGGCATACAATAAGTATTGGTCGATATGTGTACGTATATCTAGCATTGCTAATGTACGACTGGGTTGTCTTTTTTTGCTTGGCCCAAGCTATACAATAACAAGGTGATGTGATATACTAATGTCTACATCTCTGGAAGGACACCAAGTGAAACCTGTCACTGTAACTGAAGCAGTTCATTTTGATGGCATCCTTTTCATGTATGGTGCTTGTGAAGGAGCAACTGAAAACATCAAGTTTAGATGTGATTCTAAGGATCTTTCATTCAAGAATGAGGACATTGCAAACACTAGTATGACTTGTACCAGGTGGCATGGCATTAAAAGGAACTTAAAGCTGTGTAAAAATGATTTGGAAAGGCATCAACACAGATCCCCCAACAGTGGTAATCTAGCTTACAAGTTTGACTACATCCACAAGACTATTGTCAAAAATATGAATTATTTCACTGAATGGGCTGGCTTGGACCTATGTATTGACAAGACAAGCTGGCCATATCAAGGCTTTGGTGGTCCACTTGTTAACTATATGAAAAGCAAGATGATTACAAGAGGTGGAAAAACAGTCCTAATGTCTGATGTTGATCCCATCTGTCCCAGAGCACGGAAACATCAATATGATGGATGGGAATCTAGCAACAATTTGCATACCTGCACTGGCCCTGCTGAAGTTCACCACCTTGTTGAAAACTTTTTTCTCAGTAACATTGGATTGGGCAAGCTGTGGATGTCCCTGCCCCATACCACAGCCAGAAATT